GCGGGGGGCTGCTGCGGGCCGGGAGCGGGGCGCGCGGCGCCTGATGGCAGCTTTAAGGGACGCTGTGCACCCCTTACAGCTGCCATCAGGTGCCTTCCATAGGTTGGCGCTCTGGGCAGCTGCCCGGCTTGCGCATGCCTCCGTCCGGCCCTGTACTCATCCTAAGTAATGTAATCATCACAAAAGATTTTATTTTAGTGCAATATCATAAGAATGTGTGCAAATTAATATGGTAAAGAAACATACTTGTCTGAGTACTAACTTTTAATATGTATAGAACACACCTAATAGAACACTGAAAACTATATTTATGAAAACTAACCTTACTGGAAAGACATAGCAAAAACCAGTCTGCCCTGAAATCTGTACAAAGACTATTTTGTCCCATTGAATGCTGTCCTTTTTAGGAGAAGAGAGAAAAGAGTATGTATCCCCTGCAGGGCTATGATAAAGACACTCTCCTGGGTTATATAAACCAATATGAACTGAAGTAAAATGTTAGCAAAGCAACAAGTAATTATATAAATGGAGAGAGATGTACTTAGAAATTGTCTTTGCTGCTTTCATGATAGTGCTAGGTGCCTGGAAAACACAGGGACTGCTCTTTCCTTTCACACAGAGCATAGAAAACTACTTAGTGAGGTCAAGGAGGAAACATGGCCTGGGGTAGGGAGGGGGACTGTCACATAACACCATTATAATGTGCTGCTTTGTGGGAGCACATATGCACACTCTTACTGTTATATGGTAGAGCCACACCATTCTAACAGGAGTGTGTGTGCATAGCTGTACAGTCTAGCCCTTAATCTTTAAAAGAATTTTAGTTTTAAGTTACCACAAAGGGCACGGCCAGTTGATTGCAAGGTGTTCCCAGCTCCTCTTTGTTCCTCCCCACTCTCAGTGAGGAACCTGTGCTGTCGCTACAGTCTCCCACAAAAATACAGCTAGCTCAGGCTTCCTGTGGGATCTGGCACAGAGCCGGATCTGGCACGGACTCCCCCCTGCTCATGCTGCAGGAAAGAAGGCAGCATAGAAAAGGAAGGGAAGACAAAATATGCTCCTCCTCTGCCCACAACAGCACAAGTACTTTCTTGTCTTCCCTTCCTTCCCTGTGCTCCGGTAAAGATGGCGGTGCAGGAACCAGAGTGGCTGGATATGTTAAAGGAGTGCACGTGCGCTTCTTCCAGCACTTCCTGCAGATCCTGCTCCAAGATCCTTGTCCTGGGAGACCCCTAGGTACCAGCCGAGCTGCTCCTGCTCTTCTCCCCTGCCCAGACACTCCACTAGCACCCTTCCCAGGGTCGACACTCACCAGGACCCTGCTGCTGCTCCCTGACTAGACACCTACCAGCACCCTGCTCCTGCCCACCTCCCTCCTGACCAGACACCTACCTCCAGCTTGCTCCTGTACCCTGCTTCCCCCCAGATTCCACCCCCATCCCTATCCCACTCACTGGCAGCTCTCTCCTGCATACTGGATCCCTCATTTTTGGCCCCACCTAAGAGCATAGAGGGGCCAAAAATCCACTAACCCTGGAACCCCAGAAGAGTTAATCTGGCCTGCAGCCTTGAACTTCAGTCCTACCTACCGTCCCCTACCACATGGGTCTGGAGTGCCAAGGGAGAGCGGTGTCTCAGTTGGGGCCACATCAGTGAGGCTTAGGGGGATTTGGAGGGGTTGTGTTTTTGCATCTCACTTGCGTGGTCCCCATCTGATTTTACTGTGGGTTAGTGGCCCCTGACCCAAAACAGGTTTCCCGCCATTCTCATAAATAAAGACAATGCTGAAACATGTTGTGTTGGACATAATATTTTATTTAAAAATGAAGCCTGGCCAACAAGCCCCCAGTTGGGGCCATGCCCTCATCTGGCTGCAGCATCATAACATTCCTGCACTCCCCCCCACTCCCCTGAACCTCCTGCCCTGAGCCCCTCCGGCTCCCCAACCCAGATTCCTGCACCCCCACCTCCCCAGCCCCCTGCCAAAACACTCCTGCACCCCAACACACCCCAACCCTGTGCCCTGAGCCCATCATACATCCAGCCCCCCCTGCATTGAGCCTCTCAGATACCCCAACCCAAATTCCTGCACCTCCACATCCACAAGCCTGCAGCTTGCTCCAGCACCCCAAACCTCCACCTGACCCCAACACTCTCCAGCTTGGAGCCCCCTCCCTGAGCAAGCATTTCCTTCTCCACCTCCTCCTGCATCCAAATCCCCTCCCAGAACTTGCACCTCTCACCCCTTCCTGCACCCAAATTCCTCATTCCCAACTCAGAGCCCACACCTCCTGTCTTAACCCAGTGAGAGTGAGTAAGGGCTGGGGACAGAAAATGATGGAGAGGAGGGCAGTGGAGAGCGCAGGGCCTCAAGGAAGGGTCTTGTTCATACCCCAGCTCTCCATGTTGTGAACACATGAGAGCGGAGGTTGGGAACAACTGCAGATGAAGTTCTGTGTGAAGTTCAGTATGTTTCTACTGTAGGATCTGAGGAATGCCCCTCTTCTTTCTATCCATCCATTTCTTCCTTTGTGTCCTTGAGTGTGCTTCTGACTCTCCCATGTCTAAAAAGCTCTTTTAAAGCCAAGTTGCCTGTGTGTTCCACCACTAGTGATGGAAAGGGGCCAAGCCCACCCGCTTACACAGGAAAATCAGTTGGAAACTCAGTGAGTTGAAACGTACAAGGAGCATTCGCCCTCTCTCCTCGTATACCGCCAGCTGCAGCAAAAGTGCATAATTTTGACCTATTGTATATAATTAATCTGTAACTTTAGAGAAATGATAAGCATAGAAAGGGCTGCAGTGAGCCACTGCGGGTTGCATTTTTGATAGTCAAAGCCATTAATATTAAGGAAGCCCTGAATTTGGGGGTGTCTATTACAAACTGATTTCTCTTAAGAAGAGCGACTACAGTTAAAGCTAATTGTCTTTTTTTTTAAAAGTTTTGGAAAGACACTGAATTTTGAAATTCAAAAAATGAATTGGGGAGGAGGAGAACCGAAGGAAACACAGAAATATTCAGTTGTCCCCTTTTGTCTTCTCTCATTTTGGACCATCTGAGTACAATAATGTTTATACATTCATTCACAATGTAGTTAGCAGAATTTCAGAAGGATCATTTATCCTAGCTTGGATATGCCCAGTTAGGTCATAAACCTAACCTGATGTGTTAATGATTTCTCTCCTAAATTAGTGCTTAAAAATTATGGCACCATAGAAAAAAGATTTAAAAAGGTAACAAATCAGTGTGATATCACAAGGCAGGTTTTTTTCCAAAAGAATCTATCCCTGGATTGATGTTATAGGGCCAAATCCTTTAGTCTTTCTAAGCAGACCAGGGAGACGCGGAGCAAAGCCGCGGAGGACGAGGGCAGCGGGATCGCGGCGCGTCTGGGCGGTCCCGCTGCCCGCGTCCTCCACGGCGAGAAAAGCCCCGTTCGTATGTAGGGATCCGATGTAAGTTGAATCCACGTAACCCTGCCTGTATTTCAAAATAACTACTCCCCAGAGTCAGTCACAGTAATCATTCCCCAGTGCTTCTTGGGACTCTAAGTCAAAGTAGCATGTCCACATTAAGGGAGCCTGCTGCGGATTAATTTTGAAGTTTCCCTGTAGTGTGAACACACTGTTTTGAAATAGTTGTTTCAGGGTTATTATTTCAAAGTTTTTATTCAAAACTAATAGTGTTACAGGACCACATGTGTTTTTACCAAATGTCATTGAAAAAAAATTTAGAATGTGGTGCTGAGGGTGACAGTGTTCCCTTTAATAACCAATAAAACCTATAACTCTTCATGCAAATTAGGAGACATACTTAAACTTGAAGCACTATTTCCATATTGCTGTAGAAAATCTTTCCTTTTTAAAAATTCTATAAAAATTCACAAGCAATTTGGAAATCTGCTGTTGTGAAGAAGTGTAGCTAATTCAGTATATTCATTTTCTGCTGATAATATTTTCAAAGTTTTTTCACAGATTTCATATGAATGTTGGGTACTTATGATTAGTTTTGATAATAGTGTAAAAAACAAATGGAAGTTATTACTGAGCTCCAGGAAATAAGTAGGCTGATTCAAATCTACCTATACATGATTCAAGAGAGAAATATATTAACTTAACTTCAGACAATTTAAAGATTATAGATCAGATAGTAGAGAGACAAGATGTGTGAAGTTTACATCTCTTATTGGACCAACTTCTATTGGTGAGAGGGATAAGTTGGTCCAATAAAAGATATTACCTCATTCACTTTGTTTCTCTAATATCCCGGGTCTGACAGTTACCACCCTGGATAGACCTGATTTGGAGCTTGTCATTAACTAGTTTGTTAAGTTGTGGAAAAAAGAAGTATCAGTAGATAAGAAAGCTTGATATGGTGGTCCTTATGTTCTTCTCAAGTCTGGGTTGTTTCTGTATGCTCCCTTTCTTCCCCAGGACTCTGCTGAAGCCTCTCGTGCAAACACCTAATTGTTAAGGATTGCAGGTGCCTGTCAGGACTGGGGATGGAGATTGGAAGCAGTTGTTCCGAGTGACTGGCTCCCATGAGAACTTGGTAGATTTCTGCTTGGAAATTTGTACAAGTTAATGAGTGAACCAACATTAACTTTGCCTCAGCAACCTTCTACCCTGTCAAATGGGGAATAGTGCACAGCTGTAGCACTATAGCAACATGATTTCTGAAGGATCCATCCTACTAGCGGAGGAGGCATTAGTGAGGGAGCCACACAAAGTTATCATTATGTAGTCTTGAGAATCCATTGCATTGGCCCTTCTCTTTGGATATTCTGTGAATCTTTGGGCTTTGTAGTTCAGACCCATTCCCTGTCCCTTGAGTGTAACATTCTTGCAGACCCTCTCTTGAAGATTTCTCAGAACTATTTCCTCCCACCCCTGCACATAGACATAGATTTTTAAAAAATAAATTAAGTTTGGAAGGTTTTTTTTCTAAAAGATCTGCTCTTGGAATTATTTTGTGGTAGTTCTGTGGCCTATGTTATATAGGAGGTCAGACTAGATGATCACAGTGGTCTCTTCTGCCCTTGGAATTTGAATTTCTGGCAAGGAATGGAAAAAATTGTTGTGATTTAGAAAAACCCCTGTCAGCTCTAGAAGAAATATTTACAAGTACAGAAAGTTCTGCAAACATTCCAGCGCTTAAGTGCAGGTGCCAAGAGGGTGTATTTTAGGGAACTTTGTACTAACTGGTCTTGAAAAATGCATGGCGTACCGTGTACAAAAATAGTTAACTCTGAGATTTAAAACAAAAAACAATACCTTTAGTTCTCAGTCAGGGTTACATTGTGAATACCTTTACTCACATTTTTGAGCAGTTAAAGGAATTGCCCCATTCACTCAAGTGGGATTGCTGCTGTGAGTAAATGTTTGCCAGTATAAGAGGTTCACAATCGGTCCTTCCATTTTCTGTAAATTATGTAAATTATACTGGTTTCCATTTGAACAGGTAGCATATGTAGTTGCTTATATAGGGTTTGAAAATTGCCATTGACGGCAATAGGCACAAGATCAAACCTATTAAAAGAAAAGGCCTTTTTGCTACTGAGTCTGTTTATAAGGTGGGGAATATTTAATTATTAATGAGCTATGAACATTACGTAGAACTTCCTTATTTACAGTGCCGTTCAGTGAAAAAATAGGAGATTCTCAAGGAAAAGTTTCCTAGTATTGAAAGAACCTGATAATCTCA